AGTACTGAAGGAGCTGAAGGGGTTTAAAACCCCTTACACAGAACAACAATATCAGCCAACCAGACTCCCTAGAGCTTCCAGAGATTAAACCATCAACCAAATAGTACGCAACAAGGAACACAATGCTTCAGCTGCGTATCTAACAGAGGATTACCTTATCTGGCAACATTTTTTTTAAAAAAATAAATTCAATGCCAAAGAACTTTCTGCTGTGTGTTTATGGAGCTCTACATCTAGGCATACAAAAATGGCATATATAGCTTGATCATGCTAGCCCTTTTTGTCCTGGGAATACTTTTATTGCTGCCCATTGTGTTAATGCTTTTCTTCAACAACATCAACATGTTGGCAGCCAAAGTACATGGCTTCAACCTGAAAATGGATCCCCAGACAGAGTTATTAAATTAACAGACTGGCAAGCCAAAGACAGGTAAGATTCTGCTCAGAGCCTTACCAACCCAAGACATATGTGCATTGCTTTTGATAATGCATATTCCATGATGGGGAAAGAAGGCATTCTTGTCAGAATGACCTAAGACAGGCTCAGTCTTGTTAATGAAATAAAAAAGGAGGAGAGGCTGAGAGCCATTTGGGGCTGCTTGGCAAGAATGTGACATTGTCCAAGACAAGAAAGTAGGCTTCAGGCAGGAATCTGACATTAGGCTAGAACAAAGAAATAATTTCAAGTAGGTACCCTGCATCTTTTTATTTGAGAATTGTTATCATTTATGGTGAGACAAATTAATGATCAATGATTGTCAGCTCCTGTTATTTTTATATTATTGTTGGTATTAAAGTGTGTGTGTGGGTTTAGCTTCTTTTGGTTTTGTTGGTGTGGCATTATTCATTTTTGAGACAGGGTTTTGCTCTGTATCCCAGACTAGCCTCCAACTCTTTCAGATTCCTACTTCAGCCTCCCAGATGCTGGATTGCAGCCTGAGTGCAGTCATCTGGGATCTCTGTTGCTTGCAGGATGGTCAACAGTCTCCAGATACTGAATAAACAAGTCAAAGTCCAGGGGATCAACTGCAAGTGTTCTGGGTCTGGGGTCTTTTTGTAAAGACAGGGAAAATGACTTGTAGCAGTTACCTGTCAGAGCTGGAGATTAGCAGTGCTACTGCCTTGAAGGACGTCTCACATTTTTTCCAAAAATATATTTATTTTTAAAAACAAAAAATCAGGTGAGCTTTCTGCAGTCCAATTCTCTAGGAACAAGCCAGAATTTGGCTTCCTATCAGAAAGGTTGGACAGCAATAATTTCACACAGAAGTTATCTCCCCCTACAGGAGACTGAAAACATTCTGCTTGGTTGCACACACTTAATTTTCTAAGTCTGGTTTGTACTTCTGTCATCATTGTATTCTGTCCCAGGGGTCTGGCATGCAAGAGAATCCATCTCTAAAATTCAAAGTTTCCAAACTGAGATGTGCGGTTGTTGGTCTTGAGTTGGGGTTTATAACCAATTCTATCATTAAGCATTTGTTCCCAGCTCTTGGGGTGACTGCTGAGCCCAGCAGCTCCTTCTCCATCACTGGTTCCTATACCCTCCACATCTTCCTTCTGTTTCTTACGGGCCTCCAGGTCCTTTTGAATTCTCTCAAATTCCTCAATGTTGTTGAGCTTGAGCTCCAGGTGAGTCGGTTTTCGTCGCAGCATATTGAAGTCAACCAGGACTTGAGAGGAGCCAGGCCCAGTGAGCTATAGGCTCTTTTCGGCCCTCTTCAGCTTCCCAGAACCTCAACTCCCACCATGACTCCATTGCTGCACAGGCATTTATTTCTTTATGCAAAGGGATTTCTCTCCTATTGTTTTGTTGAAGTTTATTTTTCTGAACCTTTGATTTGGGAGTCTTATCCTTTTTCCCTTCCTGTTATGCTTAGGTTTGATCTTTACACAGTGTTTCAAATTTCTTGTATTTTTGTTAGAAACTTTTAACTTTAGCATTTTCTTTGTTTGATTTATCAATTTCTTCTATGATATCTTCTATGGTATCTCCTATGTCTGAGAGTTTTTTCTTTTATCTCCCATGTTTTGTTGATGATGCTTGTGTTTGAAGATACTGTTCTCGTATCTATGTTTTCTAACTCCTTGATTGCTTTAGAATTTTTCACTGCTTTCCAGATTGTACAAAGTTTTATTTGTTTCTTTCACATATATGACTATTTTCCTGTATTTATTTATAGCTGTTTGTTTCCTCTTTAAGGGCCTGTACATGTTTGAGTGTATTTTCTGGTATTTCTTTAATTTGTTCATTTCATCTTTAAAGAACTCTACATCCTCTTAAGATTACAATTTAAGTCTTTTTTATGATTCATGTGTGTTAAGATATTCAAGGATTAGTGTCGTATTATAGCTGGGATATGGTAGTAGTATAGTGCCCTTGCTTTTGTTAATTTTATTTGCATATTGGCCTTTGCTCATCTGTTTGGTCCTTGTGTTAGTATATCTGGTAATCTGTGATGGGAGTAAGCCTCTGGGTCTGCAGTTAGAGCTGACCGTCACTGATGTCAGCAGGCCTTTGAGATTACCAATAGAGCTGGTTGTCCCTGGTGACAGCAGGGTTCCTGAGAGGCAAACAGAGTTGGGAGATCCTGATGGCTTCATGCTGCTGGTTGTTCTAGTTGGAGGCAAGCCTCTAGGGATGAAGGTAGAGCTGGTGCTCCCTGAGGGTTACAGTCTTCTATTTGTCCTGGGCAACTTCAGGGCTCCAGAGATATAGATGGAAGACTGGCTAGGGAATGGAGTGTAGATGGTGTCTAGTAGAGATTATTGCTTTTGGGTTTGTTCAGAGAGGCCAGGTGGCAAGATATTTGGGTAGGAGTCTCACCTGCTGGTCACTGATAGGTGCAGACATCTGGGATTTAGGTTAGAGATGTGGAGCAGAAGATGAAGTTTGAGGCTTTAGGAACACTCCTCCTTCTCTGATATCACAATAATGACCTTACTCTTAATATAGTTATTATTAATGGTATGCCTTTACTGTTCTGTGTAAAATGTTCTTCTCAGCTCAGTTCTATTCTGTTTAAACATTTCTGCTAAAAAGTGCCAAATTCAGTTCTTCTCTTCTCTCTTTTCATAAGTGCTTCCTCAGCACTTATACATATTTCTGAATATATGATCACATGGTAAAATGTTCACCACAAATTTATACATAAGTCCATATTATAAATTGAATAATCGTTTTACAACAAAGAATTTTTACATGCATATCTATTAGCAATACTTATGTAGCTATATGCTCATTATCTATCACAGCTCTACAGGTTCATGGAGAATTAAAAGCCATAACTAAGTTGTAGTGAAGTTTTATACAGATAAATTCAGCAAATACTTTATCTTTTGTCCTAGAACCTATAGTTGTTTCCTTTTTATGACCTTTGGTTAATGGTTTTACAACCTCTTAGAATGTATTCTGATGCCTTCTGGCTATTTCAGAAGCAATTAATTCCTGATAATAAAGATTGGCAGAATTCTTATGGCAGTTGTAACTATCAGAGAGAACCTAATAGGAATCTAAGTATAAAAGAGCTTTATAAATACTGATATAATTTTAGGAATTCTTATAGGATAATCATAAAAATTAAGAAGTCATCTATTTGTTTGTATAGCATCATTAGAAGGCAGTACATCTTTGTCATTCAGCAGACATCTGCTAAAATGTGCGAACTAATATTTAGTGATTGTTATGTATGTCTAATAATAACAAGACAAGCATATTAATAGCAGGAATCTTTCTGAAATGAATTTCTCCTGTGCTTTTCCTACTAGGAAAAATCTGTTATGTATTATAAACCAAGGCAAACACATCTCAGGAAGATCACCTGCTACCATTTAGCTTCTCCTAACAATTTATTCCTTGTTGTCTTATGATCTACTTTCAAATCTTTTTCAAGGGATGTCTTTCATCTTTGTGTTTTTTTTTAATTTCTCTCTTTCTTTCTCTCTCTCTCTCTCTCTCTCTCTCTCTCTTTCTTTCTTTCTTTCTCTTGTTTCTTCTTTGTCGACTTTTTATTGTCTTTTTTGTTAATCTTACAGCATGTACCCCACTCCCAGTCATATTTTACTCCCCTCATATCATCCTTAAAAACTTGCAAACTTGCTCCCAACAGAGAAGAAAAATCTTGTGGAATATTGCTTGTGACCCTGTTCAGGACCGTTGAGGTTGATGGTCAAAAGGTACAGAGTCTGAGGGTAAGTCAATGCCATAAACAGACTCATTTATTGCAGACACTGAGCAAATCTCTATACCCCACTCCTATAATCTCATTGGCTCTCAAGTAACCACGTGTTGTGCTGTCTTTTTCTCATTGACTCACTCCACTTCCTGATCAAGAGTCTGTGGTTTCTAACTGTGCTGCCTGATTCAGGGTTAGTGCAAGGAGAAAGTATCAGGGGCACATTTACCAGAATTGCTGCTGGTTCTGCTTAGGTTCCTCCTATGATGGAAGCTGTAGTGTGTCATAGTGTGTTCCACAGACTACACTTCTTTGCTTGTAAGTGTTCATTACAATAAGTCATTGGTCTGGTTCAAGGCTCATTGCTTCTGATATTCTACAATACAGAAATCACACTGAGACTACTCTTAGATATCCTTTGGCTTGCTTTATGTTATAGAAATCTTTCAATTTTATATCTCTAGGACTACCTCCTTCATGCACTCCTATAGTTTATTGAAGGTTTAGACATAAAGAAGGTATAGGCATATTCTGCTTCCTAAAGCCTCTTCAACACCAGACTTCTATTAATCTGGTCATCTTGGCTAGCTTCCTGTCCAAGCACCATGGCAATGGTCTGGTGGTCATCTCAGGCCCACTTCTCACTGTGGTCCATTGTCGTGACCCCGTGTGAGGGTCCTCTGACTCTGAATCATTTCTGCCCAAGGTCTGTTGTCTAAAGTGGAGTTCTTCTATTCGTTGGCAGGATGCCCATCTTGAAAGCTTTTAAGGGCCTGTTTACAAGCAGACTTGTGGGAGTCTCATACTCTCTTTTTTTTTTCAGGAAATGTTAGGCTACTAATCATTAATGTGTTCACAAGTCAGAATATTGAATGCAGACATAGTCTCTGTCCACTCTACCATCTACTGATGCACATATGACACAGAAACCATACCTGCAAAGCCTCGAGGCCAGATAATTGCTGCATTTTATGTGTATCTTTGGAACACTATTTTAATAATATATCTTATAACAGTGGAAATTGCCACAGCTGTGCTGATCAGTTCAGGGATTTCAGGCTTAAATACAATCAGTTCATGTTCCTTTCTTCTTTCCCTTACTTTCTTCTTTTCATATCTCCCTTCTTTTTCACCAATGTCTTTTTTTATATATAAAATTGCCTAGCTTTAAATATTTAAGTTTCTCAAATGCCACATTTACTATTAAGGTTGTCCCTCAGAGAAGTAGAATAATCTTCTTTGAAACTTTCTTAACTCCTATAATATTTTCCTGAATATTTATGTCAGGATTTTCTCTTTTATATGACCCAGGTTTTCTGTAGCTAGTCACAGGTAATGAAGAAATTACTGTTTCTCTTTGTTCTAGAATCTACAGCACATTGGTTCTTTCCCCAAAAAGACATTGCTCATCACTGTTCATTCATTTACACGAATGAAACCAGCAATATCACACAGACTTAACATTTTAGGTTGATAAAAAATTTATAGCAATAGACTTTTGACTGCTAATTCAGAGGATGTTTTTATGGAGTAGTGACAATCTCAACACAGAGTATAAATTAATTTTTGACACTATTGTGAGTGTACTAAAAAACACTGGGAGCTATACTTTCTTCTTTCTCTATTTTACTTTGAATTCTTTGTTTTATAATGTGAGTTCATGCTTGCTTTCAGTTTTTACAGTAATATTTAGTGTATATGATTTTTACCAAAGAGGATACATCATTATGCAAAAAGTATTTTAACACACTGTAATAAGATATTTTTCTCTGGATTATCCAAATGATCTGATAGGAAGTGGGTTTTTTTTGCCATAGATTATGATAATATTTATTGTATAAAATAAGTGTCAATGACTACACTTTCTTGTCATGAGAAAAACAAGAGAAATGTAACTCATACATTCACAAAGCTGCAAGAAATGCTCTTAAGTCCTAGGGAAAAATGTAGGCCTAACACAACTACACATAGACTTTTTGTTTTATTATTTACCTATTTCTTGGAACAAAGCTTGAAAGCACCTTATTCCCCAGCTTTCAGTACAAAGTGAAAGGCAACATTCTTTTTAGAAAAACAAGCCCAAACCCCACATGGTGGTAGAATATGTTCATTTGGCTTAGGGGACTGGCTGCTCTAGCACTGTCCCAAAAGCACTGTCCAGGTGAACGGCTATGATTCTCTTGAGACCATCAAAAGACTGTAGCCTCCAGTTTTGATATTCTTGAGTTTTGCCATCTTAGTAAGCAAATATCTTATAATCTAGCATCCTTGTATTTTTCAATATGATGTGTTAAACTTGGTAATTAAATTTATCCTGTTAAGGCACACTACTTTACCTATGATTTATACTAATATTTTACCTTCATCTTAGTCAGTATTCTATTACTATAAAGAGACACTATGATCCCACCAACCCTTATAAAGGAAAACATTTAATGGGGCTTGCTTACAGTTGGGAGCTTGGTAACATGCTGGCAGATATGGTGCTGGAGAAGTAGCCGAGAGTTCTATATCCTGATTTGCAAGCAACAGGATGAGAGAGACTCTAGGCTTTCTATCGGCCTTGAAACCTGAATGCCCACCTTACAGTGACACACTTTATCCAACAAGACCATACCTCTTAATCCTTCTCAATAAGGTTAATCCCTGAACATTAAGCATTCAAATATATGAGCCTATGATGGTCATTCTTATTCAAGGCACTACACTCCCCAGTGATATTCTAATTGTTGAGAACATAATTTCTGCCCCCACTACTACTTCCAACCCTTACCCCTCAACACTTCCTAGTAGATGTAACTTTTCTTGGATTTACTGTTAAATAAGCTCACCTTTTCTAGTTCTTCTGAACTATGGCTGCTTATTCAATTCAGTTGTTCTGGTTCAAACTCATCTCCAAGCTGACTGATTCAACCTGGGTTCTTTCAGCTTCTCACTGAATTGTTTTGCTTGGTCTCAATCTATCTCTGGAAATTCATCCTAATATTCAGGCTTTTTGGTATTCTCTGGCTTCAACTGCTTCTGCTAACCTGAACTGAACTGCATGAACTCATAAACAAACTTAATGCTACTGCAGTGTATCCATTGTACTGACTCTCAACTGACTGACTCTCTCCCTGCATTGCTCTAAAATAGTTTCTTTTTCTTTACTGTTCTCTTAAAAGTTGGGTACATCCTATCTCTTACTCATTCTGTTAAATCTGTCTATGCTTTTTTACTTAGGAAGTGTTTTTAAAATAATATCAGTTTCCTAAAAATGACAGTGTAGACGTGGAGCATGTGCTTTGTACCCAAGAATTTTTGGAGTTTTTCAATACTTTAAGGGAAGAGACTAGAAGCATGAAATACAATGAAATATCACTGTGAACACAGATTCTGAGAGAGTTGCTAAAATTAAAAAAAAATTAAGATTATGTTTACATCATTGAAAAAACTAAGCTAGAGGACTGACAGAAATGGTAGGAAGAGTCCCTTATGGTCACAGACTAGGTCAGTAAACATAAGAGGAAAAAAATTCATAAATATAGAGAGGGAAAACACATGTCAGCTGATGCAACAATAACCTGGAAGAGAATGAGAAGGCTAGTTATTCATGAAAAAGACATAGACAGACTTACCACTGACCACCAATACAATTATCAGTGATAATTGTACCAATACCACCAGGTCTGTGCACAGTGAAATACAATGCACCATGGAGTGTAAAATCACTTGTCTTTGTGATAGTCACAGACCAGCAGCTAGAAAGGTGGCAACTACTCAATACTGATAGTTCATGCCAAGGGCTGGAAAGATTCTAAGGGGATATTACTACCTTCCACCATAATGGCATCACTGAAACTCACAAACTGTAATCTCAGATGTTTGAAATAGAGAGTCAAAATCATGACTGATACATCAACAGAGTTAAATCCATTGACATCATACGGCAAGTGGGAGCATTCTAGGTTGTTATATGGAAGAAAATAATCTTCCTAATATTTTTTTACCTTACATTTATTATGCATTTTACTTTAAAACATTTTAATTTCTGTGGTTATGTTCAATGACAATATGCAACTGAAAGAATAAGAGTTTATTTCAGCTTACAACTCTCAAGTAGCTCTATACTGATAAAAGAAGTCATTGTAGAAACTCAACAAGGCAGGAACCTGGAGCAAGGAGATGATACAGGGACCACAGTGTGGTTTTCCTTACAGAATTCCTCATGAAGAATTATTCAGCCTGTTTGTTTTCTTACAGCATCCAGAGCCTAGAGGTCATGTTTTGCACTGCCCATTGTTATATGGGAGTTTCCAGAACAACCATCCATCAAAAATACTCCTGTAGTCTTGCTTCCATGCAATGTGGTAGTACCTTTCAACTACTTAATTTCCCTATTCTAAAATGACTCTAACTTCTGGGAAAGGACCAATAAACTAACTAACTAACACAAGTGACTACTTTGACTCAAACACACCACTGTTAAACAATTACCTTTCTTTAATGCTGCCCTCAGAATATCACAATAACATCAAAATAAACATGATATAACATTAAGAATCTCTGTCTTTTGTATTAAATACTTAAAATTTAAGTCCCTTAAAATAACCAATTTCTTGTAAAATATATAGTCCCTTTATAAATTCAAAATCTCTCAACTATTCTTAGACACAAAGTAAAACATCCAATACTTTTCTTCTAAGAGGGAAGCAGAGCACAGTTACATTCTAATAAAAGTAAACCCAAAGTTCAATAGTCTGGAAACTCTTGTGCCTGTGTAAAATTCTTACTTCCATTTCTTCCTTCCTTTCCAATTACAGCCATTCTTTTCAACAAATTTCACCCCTTCTTGAATATCTTTTTATGTGTGCTTGATTGAACTTAAGGAGAATAACTTGTCTGAACAATGGTGAAATCTTTCTTATTTACTTGCTAGTGAGAGTTAGGAAAAGCCAGAAAAAAGTAGCTTTCTTTTGCCTATGAATTTTTTTATCAGGGCAGCTGCTGAAGGGATCAGTACACATTTAGTGTGTCTTTCTGTTTCAAATAATTTGATCAAAAAATTGGCTGAGAAGAGTGTCCAGTGGGCTTGTGTTTTACTTGACTCCAGACACACTCCAACTGACAATCAAATTAGCCATAAAAAGTCATCATGAAAGAGAAGCAAATTCATTCATATCATGCTTAATTTCCAAATGAAAACAATAACCAAGTAATAATTTCACCTACAATAATATAGACACAATATGTATAACTATGTAGAAGCTTATATTTGCAGACTGTGAAATGATATGATAATGTTTACAATTGGATACATATATTTTAAATAAAAATTATTATATGGCTGTGAGCTTAAGGATATTGGAGTGAAGTACTTAGCTTAAGAAGGTCTCTTCACTACCATGTGTATTTAAATAAAACATTACCAATTGATGTTGTTGCTGGTGAAGATTCACAATATTTGCCTGTGAGGGGTTGGTATACAGGGAGGTTCTTGGAAATTTTATAGTTATTTCCAATTCATTCTCTCTGCTTTCTGCTTACAGTATAGGACACAACCTGTTTCTTCCTGCTGCCATGCTTGCCCTATGATGCTCTCCTTCTCCATCATGATGAACTGTTAATTCTCTCGAAGTAAAAACAGAAACTCATTATTCTGTAATTTGTTTGTGTTGTCAAAGAACAGTAAAGTAACTACTAAAAATCAGAAACACATTCTCAAATAGGAACCAAATGATTAGGAGATGAAATCAATAACAAGAAAATACTTGGTGGGAAAATAAGAATATTGGGAAATGGAGTACTTGTTTACTACAGGTAGCAGTGGAAAATAGTACAGCAACCACAAAAATCAATTTGAGGTCTCATCAAAACAAACAAAACAAAACAAGAATCTCCCAAGCAATAAAAAGAAGCCTTCTATATAACGTAGTTATATAATTCCCTAGCATGTATTCAAAGAAATATGAATCCT